TAGAAGTTTTGCTTCTGTCATTTGTTAAAATTACTTACAAATTTTAATTTTCCTCTCAAGAAGTTATCTATATGTAATGTTAGGAAATGACAAGAAAGTGCCTAATAAAATGTCATGTTCTCCTCAGGGTAGTTATGCCTTCATTTATAAAGTCAGAATTCCTTACATAACTACTTGTACATCCTCCTTTCTTTATAGAAATGATACTCAGGAGCCATTTCCCTATTTTCCCCTCCATTTTTTTAATCCCTCTAGTCAAAGGTGTGCTCACCCACACCCTTAATACACTATTAGCATTTAAAAGAGCTCTTTAAATTATGATTTTGCAGTTGTCATCAGTGTTTGGCCTTGGATTTGTTTAGCTTGCCTGACAGGTAACAGTGCAGTTTTAATGATAAGAGTGAAAAATGTGGCTTTGGTCTTAGTTTAACTATCAGAGACTGCATAATTCAGAAGGTTACATGGCGTACTGCCACTTCCTTAATTGCATGTCCCGTTACAGCACTGGCAAAAGGATGCACTCATTAAACTTTTCTTGTTCTCAGTATCTGTTAATTTTCCTCCTGCACCTGATTGCTAGTATGGACTGGTCAGGTACATATTATCTTTTCCCCTAAGACCCGTAAGCCTTGATTTCAAGGAAAAATATACCAAGTGACAGCAAGGAATTATGTCACTAATTGAGCTGAACTGCTGCAGAGAACAAACTGCAGTCATAAGGGTTTGGTTGCTGCTGATATTTTGTTTTGTTTGTGACCTATATAAAGAATTTCAGAAATCTTTCCTAAAACTCTTCTAAATATTACTTACCTTGAAATTGACCATTTTCATTATATAAAAGACAGTAGTAGTTGATAACAGACTGACTAGCTTTCTTCAAACTCTTTGTAATGTGAGCTTTACATGTTTGCAAATTGGTTATTGAGTAAGTAGTGACTGAAGTATAGCATGTTATTAAAAATGTATAAAAATCGCAAGATTTTAACAAAGTTTAAAAAAAAGATTTGCAGCTGGTTTTGCAGCTGAGCTTGTTTTGAGCTGTTTTGGTACATCTGCTTATCTTTCTGCCCTGTACTCTGAAATTTGAGACTGCCGTAGAGTAGCTGAGATTTTTGTGACTTTTTTTAGCAGAACCGGACTATTATGGTAAGATACCAAAAGTGATTAATACCACAACTCATGTCACTACAAGAGCTTCTGCACATAAGTAGTGTCTTGAAAAATAATGTTTCATATTCATACAATTTAGTGAGAAAGTAAAAGTTTAAAACAGAACATCAGGTTTTGATATTACAAAAAGTGCCTAAGTGTAAAGAATGTTTGTATTTTTAAAGCAAAGCTTTTGTATTTTGTGTGTGGGTATTATCTGTAGTAGTTCTTAGGAACTGTTAAAGTTTTCTTTTTTTGTTAAATATTTGGAAGCTATCAGCTGCTAATGCCAAGTGTATGCCCATCCTGTCTCCTAAACTAGCAGGCAGAGTATTACTTTGCGATTGGATTTAGTTTTGAATCAATTTCTAGAAGGTGAATTATTTATTCTGGTTGAAATTTGGGAAAGTGCTTTGTGTTCTTTAAGCCCTTTGGTTTGAATTAAATTCATATTGAGTACATTTCTGATAGTTTGAACAGAGTTTACAAAATATTGCAGTGAATAGCAAAGGCTAAAGTGATAACTATAGTTATTGTCAGCATATCACATCTGTGGATTTCATTGATGGCCAATGTTTTTATATTACTGTTTTGTTCATTTACCTACTGGTTGCTCCATAGAAGACTTTATTTTCTGAATGAAGAAAAGAAATTCATTCGAACACTTTCTCAAAGTGAGCTCTTAGTTTCACAAAACCTTTCTGTCATATTATTTTATTAGAGTCTAAAGTCAAATAAGAATTATAGAATGGAAACTTGTTTTCTTTTTCTCAGTGGGAAAAATAATTCTGTATTTTTCACTCTGGAACAGAGAAATTTTCAGTAACTGAAGCAGCAAATCAAGATTTTTACTTAAATAAATATAATGTACTAGAGGGAATCTGCAATATTTGAGACAATCAGAAATGTTTAGATGAACTAGATGATAAATAGAAAAAAAAGAATTTTGGGATCTGAGAAGTTAGTAAGGTGTCCACAGTTTACCTACTTACTGGCTGTTAGTTAAATGTTGATGTGTATGCTACCCAAGCAGTAGGTTAGTACCTGAATTACTTTGATTTTTGGTCACATCTGGAGACAATGTGGGCAGAAGGAAGTAGGTATTTGAAAACAAAACAAGAAGTTTTATAATAGCATACCTGTCGAGAATAAAGGTAGACCTGCAAGAGGAGGTACTTGCTAAATTACACAGTGGGAGGGCAACAGATAGTTTCACTGTTAAAAGCTTAAAGGAGTAATTACAGTGCTAAAAATTGGTTGTCCTTGTTTGTGAACTTTAACATAATTTTCTAGTGCTTATGAGAATGAAAACCCTCTTCAAAAGTTGACTTTAGACTCTGTTTTTGAACTTGTAGCATATTTTCTGCTATACATAAATGGGATTCACATGACTATTTTATGGTAGCTTATATGCTAACATAAATTACATTGACTTTAATCTAACATTTGGAAAGGCTGAACTGGGTGCAGTGCTTGTATTTTCTTTCAATTACTTTAACCTGTTGTTTTATGCACAGTTTGACAAATTGCTGTTACTCAGACTTCATGCTTGTAGTGACAAGGGGTCCTTGTTGAACTAGGTTTTAATGTTAAAAAGCAATGACATTAGTAACTTTATCAATGTTAGCATATTAAGTTAAAATTCACTTGAGGATTCAAAAATAATTTTCTCTGCTGTCACGTAAAGCTGTATTTGGGTACAAACCTAGTATGTCTCTCACTAGAGAACAAAATTTGCAATGAATAAAATATATCACTATGAGAGCTGCCTAAGTTTGTTGGAAGTAAATGCTTGGGGCTTTCTGCTTTATTTCTTTAGTTTTCAATTAGTAATGAATTTTACTGTTTAAGTACAAGCCAGTTTGAGAAACATTGATCCAAGTTACCTGTGTATCCCAGTCTTTTTTATGGTTTTGCCCAAAATGGTGTCATTTATCTGGTCACTACTCTACTGGTTTCTCTAAATTTTCATGCTATCTGATACCCTGTAGAGCTTCATCAATTCCCTTAGTCTTTCAACATATGTTACTTCTGACATTTTGCAAAAAGTGAGATCTATTAAGATTTGCCTTGTAAAACTTTTTTTTTAAATTTGGCTTACTTCCTTGAGCCTTAAGGGGTTGTTTCACACAGCACATCTTGGAAGAAGTATTTTTTTTCCAAGATATAAGTATCAACATAAATAAGCTATAGGTAGTGAAGCCTCCCTACCTATCTTAGGTAGGAGATAATTTGCTCTTTGAAGTCACTTTTCATTTTTGGTCAATCTGTGACTTTCCCCCTCATGTGGCTCTATTTGATCTGGTTAATCTTTTTCAATTACTCCTGGTGTTCTGTCCTCCATATCCAGGATAATTCACCAATCTTCCTGTGAACAGTCAAAACTATGTAGTGCTTTCCCTTTAAGCAGATGACATGCCATTTTATTTTACTTTTCTTTAAATCATCATGGCTGGGCTTCGAGAACGAAGATTTGGGATTTCAGCAGGGTCAACTTGGAGAGTCTTTAAATCAACAATCATAGTTAATACTGTGAAAGTAAATAGTTAAATCTAAAGAACAATTAGTTTCCCTATTTATTTATTGGTTGCAGGGAAAAAAGAGCCAAATGCAGATCTAATTCTGTGTTGTAACTGATACAGGCTTTGTCTAAAATGGCCCATGGACTGATTTTACAGGTCATACTGGTTTCTTATTTTAGATATTTGGAAGAAAGCATCTTCAAAAGCTTTGTCTGTTCAGTTTCCTTTTCTCATGTGTTTCGTGCATTTCAGCTTGGATTATATAGCCAAAGACATTTGGGTTATATTTCACCCTTTAGGTCTACTCATGATTCCTGTGTGAGATCATTGTAGCTGAAGTGACTTTATTCTCCTGCTGTTGTGCCTCTTCCTAGGCTATGGCTACTAATGGGCTTTGTCCTCTTTGTTTTGCTGAACAGAAGATTTTGTTGCAGTAAATTTGTGGATTTACAGTTACGTTGCTATTTGTGGGCTTAATCTCCGCTTTCCTGCTTTGATGATGTGACTGGACTTCACAAGTATTTTAATGCCGTGATGGATAAACTGAGGATGTAATCTCCAGTCCTTAGGCAAGGGGGGATATTTATGGCCCATGTTTGCACTAAGTGTTTATCTGCACAAGGGACACTGCAGGAAACAAAAGTTGTGGACCAAAGGCGTGGCTCTCAGAACCATAGTCCTCTGTGGATAAATTGCTTCAAAAATGGTGACCCAAAATGAGATTTAACAAAGTGCTTGGGTCAAGTCTGAAATACACAGCAGTTTTTAGCACCACATCATGTGGTTTCCATCTCTAAGATTTCCTGGTTTCCTGGAATTGCTGGCAGGCTGTGCCTTGCCAGAGTGGGGGGGCACTGGGGCTGTTCCCTCCAGACTGTCGACTTCTCCCTCTCGGCTGGGCCACTGGAATGTGTGTGCATGTGCGTGATGGATGTAATTTGGCTCTGTAGAGAGAGAGAGAACAGTGGAGCAGTGTAAGTGTTGCTGTTGATTTAAAAAAAACATTTCAGATTTTGGCTAAAAGATAAAAAAGTTACAGGTAATGCAATAGTGCTGTTAACAGATAATTATGCTTTATTCTGAAAGTTACACCTGACTAAGATAAAACTCTTTTGAGCTCTCCTAGTTAAATCAGTAGATTAAAAATTAGTACAAAACAAAAAGCAGCAGTTACATACTAAGATAGTTCTTGGTTTTCTAGAAAAAAAATCATTGAGATTTCCTTTCCAACAATACTTCTGAAGCACAGATAAAATGGCTTCCTGTCCCATGGTTTCCTGTATCCATGACAACCTGACTTTAAGCACTTCTTTCTTAGTTTCCTGAGCAAACTGTTGCAAGTCCTGGGTCAAAATGTGAGTGATACAGTATGCAGCAATACTGCCTTTACTAAGGTTTCGCAGATGAGTATAGTCAATCAACTTATACTACAATGAACTGCAAACGGCAAAATAATGAAAGTAATGAATTTCAGATTTGGGGTAAGGAATTGTTTATATCTGTTTTGACTGTAACTGAGCTTTATAAAGATAAAATTTATATTACAAATGAGCCGCCAGTGAAAGGAAACTTGTTTACAGTCAGCATTTCTGTTTGAATGCTTTTAAAACATTTCTTAGTCATTTCTGATTATAAAAAAGTAGTTCATAAATAGTATTTTTAATTTAATAGAAACTCTTATTTTGGCAGCCTAGATGCTTTTATGCTGCAATCAATTAAATGTTTTCTGGCTAGGTTGGCAGTACATTTATTTAATTGTTCATTTACTTTGAAATTTTTTTTCAGTGTAGTGAATTTTTTTTCAGACTTAGTAAGTTTAAGTTTTAAACTACTTGTTTGTCATGAAAGGAGAATGTGTAAAATACCAGTCTTGAGAGCAATGCTAATATTTTAAAGACTGTACACATAGATTTAATTACTTAATAATAATTAATATTTATACAGTTAATATATTTGAATTAATGATATTCATGTACTTTTTTTTATCTCTACTAGCGAAGTCAGAGATGAGTAAGAAGGCCAATGACAGGGATATGTGTGTTCTGCAAAGTTCTCCACCCTGCCCGGGAGCATTCCTGTATATACTTAATTGGGTTTTTTTGTTGCTGCTTCAGAAGGAGGCTTTTGGCTGTCCATCTGCTTGTCAGCTCTGCACAGGGAGACAAGTTAGCTGTTGTAATGCAGGGCTTTCGAGCATCCCTTGGAACTTACCAAAAACGACAATTCTTGTGTACCTCAGTGGAAATAATATATCACGTGTCACTCCAAATGAACTAAGAGGGCTTCAGAAGCTTGCTGCACTCCACATGGATAACTCCAGTATTCTGTATGTGCACCCAAAAGCTTTTGTGGAGCTCCCCAAACTGTGCTACTTGCATCTCAATAACAATAATATCAAACGCCTGGATCCAGGAATCTTTGAAGGCCTTTCCAATCTTCATTGTTTATACCTTCAGAATAATCAAATAGCTTTTCTTCCCAGAGGATTATTTAGTGATCTTTTTTCTATTAAATATTTATCGCTTCAAAGAAATCGTCTCAGTGTCCTTGGAAGTGGGACTTTCTTGGGTATGATGAGTCTCCAAACACTAAACCTAGCCAATAATAAGATTTCATGGATATCAGATTCAGCATTTCATCATCTTGAAAACCTTGCATATTTGTTTCTTGAAGGTAATAGCTTAAAACTTGTGCCATCGAATGCTATTGGAAAGCTCAAAAATCTTGAAAGACTTTCATTGTCTCACAATCCTATTGGATCAATACAGTCTTTTGCGTTTAAAGGACTTACTAAGCTTAGATATCTGTCTTTGAAAAATGTCAGGCTAAAATGTATTGCTGTAAATGGATTTTTTGGATTAAACAACCTTAGCCAGTTAATCTTAAGTTATAATGATTTAGAAAATATAAATTCCAGCACTTTTACTGTATTAAACAATTTAATGTATCTGCAACTAGACAGAAATAAAATAGCCAGTATTGGTGATGGTACCTTTGAAAAAATGGGACAGTCACTTAAAATACTCAGTTTAGCTTTTAATAATATTACAGAGTTACAACCTGAAGTGCTCAAGCCTTTAGTATCTCTAACTCACTTACAGGTAAATTCTAATCCTTGGAACTGCAGCTGCAAAATGCTTCGGTTACTTAATTGGCTGGCATTGTCTCCCGTTTCTGTAAGAATTCATTGTCAGAATCCGCAGAGTATGCGTGGTAGACCTTTGCATTACATTAAGGGGACTCGGTTTTCAAACTGCATTAGTCCTACTGCCAGCCCAGAGGCTGCTTGGAGTCTGGGATCTGTGGGTGTCCATCACAGCGCTACCATGTTGCTGATGGCGTGGCAAAAAGGAAAGAGTCAGAAACTTGAGCAGTTTGTCAATGCAGAAACTAAATATGTTGCTTTCTGGGAAGGAACTACAGCTACCCCTTTGCCCTATGAAGGAGATGCTGTTGAAATTCCATCACAGGCAACTACAGTATTATCAACATTACCAGTGCAAATACCAACACAGATTATATCTACTAACAGAACTGTAGAAGAACAAGATTTACTTCCGAAAGATGTTGCTCCTGTGTCATTAAAAACATCCCTGATTTGTGCACAAAAGGTTGAAAAGCTGAATCAGGCTTTTGACATTTTATTAGCCTTTTTCATTCTGGCTTGTGCTGTAATCCTGTTCTTAACCTGTAAAATTATTCAGTTTAGGCAGAAACTAAAGGTGCTGGAAAATTCAGGGGAAAAGAGAATAGAATATTATGGCTTTTATCAGCCTGGCAGATATAACATAACTGACCCAGTGCAGTCTCTAACTCAGAAGTCAGTGGTACATTCAGAACTGGACCAAATTAGGCTGCTCAAACGAACAGCATCAGAAAGTCAGGCACAGGTAATACTGTTTGAACATTCATCATTGTAATTTATCTCAATTTATTTGGTGTTAACTTTACTGTGATATGAAAGGTCAAGAAATCAAGAACTCGATTTTCTAAAAATACCTTCACTGATTAAAAGCAACTGCTTGATATGATTGTGGAAAATGGCACAATTTGAGTTCTGCATTTTTTTTTTGCTTCCTGAATGTTTTGAAGTTTATTATTTTATTATGTGTCATTTAAATCTGACACAGATATGTTTATTATCCTCTGTCCCTGTTTTTAGGAATCTTTCACCTAAAGGTGAAGTATACATGCAGTATAAAGTACATTTTTATTTAATTTAATTTGCAATACTTAGTATGTTCCTACAGAAATTCCATAGCTAACTTAAAGCTTGAAGCAAACAAAACATCACTTCTTAGTAGGATCACAAATCTAAAGAGTCTTGGGGAATGAGAAAATAAACAGTGCTTTTTGTATTTAATGCAGTTTTTACCCTGCCTCCTATTAATAAGCACAGTAGGAAAAAAAGTGAGCATATTTACTGCTGGAATGTTCCAACTCTTGAGGAAGAGAATAATTTAAAACTAGACAAATTTTATTAATACCTATAACATATTTTAACATACAAAGTTGTGTATTCAGTCTGTGTAATAAATATATTAAAGTGACTTTTTTATTAGTGTGTATCTGTATTATTTTATTAAATACCCCAATCTGGAGTTAAGGGAACCCAAATTTCTGTTGAATTGAAAAATTGAACAAGTTTGTTAGGTCTAAGGTAATAGAGCTGGTTAATTACTTTCAATAAAAGATACTTTGTCATCTATGTAGTAATAGTTTGAGGGACTTTTTGGCTAGATAAAAGGTACAAATTAAAGAAATATGCTACACTGTAAATACATGATGCTAAATTAATTGCTAATTTATTTACAGTTTTGAAAGTGTCAGGTCAAAATACATGTTCCTAGTGAAGGCTTCATCTTAAAAATATGGATATTTTCCTATTTAATTTTCACTGATTTTAACACTTTATTTCTATTTCAAATATTGATGTTCTGATATTGTCAGGTTATGTCTACTGTATGGTAGCTTTATTTTCAACTAATAGGACTTCTGTAGATACTGTTTGTCTTCTACAGGCCTATGCCTTAGAGAGTTCAACTATGTGGCTTTTAAGTTACACAGTTTACAGTTAAATCATTCAAGGAAAATTGGGGAACAGTGCTTTGATAGTCTCTCCTCCATGGTGTCGATAGAAATTGTGTAGAGGTATGTTACTGTTCTAGGCTCCAGCCTGGGGGCTGGCATTTTAGATGAGCTAGAACTGCCCTCAGGGTTCTTCTTCTATCCCGCCTGCTTCCTGCCGGTGTAACTCATGTGCTTGGCTGGGTTGTGCAGCTTCCTGTTATTGTGTTTGTCCGTCTGCAGTTCTTTTCCAGGAGTGAAAATACAGAAAGTATATAAACCTTGACTGCACTGAGAGGGTGTGAATGTGCAGATGTGTCTTCACTGTTGCTTGTTATGTGTCTCAATGGAATGTAATGAAATATCAGTTTAGTATATTGTAATACTGTATTTTACTGTAATTTACTGTATGAGATCAAATGTACTGTAATAGATCAAATACTCATAAAGAACACTCAATTCAGCTACTTGAATGAAAGCTTAAACTGTTTTGGGTTGCTTAAGTAGAAAAAATAATTTTCTACTTGTAGATCAGATGTTAAGTGTAATGGGCAAACGCTTTTAAGGAGGGAAAACACTGGCTGTAATTTATGTTAGTTTTTTTTTCAGGGACTAATCCACTTCACTCCCTTCCTTTATAATCCATTTTTGTTACGTTCTGTCTCTTCTACATAATTCCTTGTGATAAATATTAAATTTGTTTTCATTTAGGAGCAGCTGCACAACTGATGAGTAGTAGGTTCACAGTTGCACAGTTGTAAATTCAGCAGTTTTGTGTCCTATATTTCTAAATTTTCAATTTTATATAGATGTCTTCAGAAATAATGGACTTGAAATTTGGTGGAAACTAGTTAGGTTTTCCTTGCTAGAAATGCTTCTCTGCCTTGGTTACAGAGGAGTTTTGGGAGTGGGAAAAGGTTGAGACTGATCATACCTAATTCTCAAGGAAATCTGGCAGGGAGCAGCGCTGTTATTTTAGGCTCTGTTGTCCACAGCTGCTCTCTGCAGAAAACCACCAGAGATTGCCTCTGAAGGTGCATCCTTTTCACTGACAAGCTGCTGTAGGAGTTGTTTGCCAGATGTGAGTCTCACCATCTGTAGCGATGGAGCATGAAAGGAAACCAGTGCTGTCACAGCTGTTTGTGCAAGCAGGGAGTTGGAGCGGTTGGAAACCATCCTTTCTAGTGGAGATATCCTCTAAAATCCAGCTTGGCAACATAGGGATTAGACTAACAAGGAACTGAGAAATTCATTATGCAATTGTGAGGGAAATGCCTTTCTTTCACAGTTAGTATCTTTTGTATTTGAATGTTCACACCAGGAAACAGATCCTTTCATGTACACATGTGGTTCATATGTCTGTTAAAATCATTAGAGAATACATTAGAAGACTTAGTTGAGCTATATTAGGTGAGTCTGCACCCATGAAACAAAATGGTGTTTCATGGAGATCATGTTAGTGAGTCATAGGGCTCGCCTGGAAATGTTGTCTTAGCCGCTACTTTATTGCTGTAGGAGCTCCCTAGTACTGTGCAGCTCCTAAGAGGGGATGGTGGTGTACTAATCATTTATGTTGCTCACAGTATGTGCAGAGTAATCTCCGTTTGTCCCTCTCTACTTCTTTCCTTAGCTAATGAGATAAGAATAAAAAATTAATTAATCTTTCTCAAATCCGTACACTAGTAAAGATATGAAATCAAACTGTTTATTGCTTCCCATGGTGAATATAGAAAAGCAGAAGTTATGTTGTTTTTCTTTTAATCTCTAAAAAAGTATGTTTTCCCATACAGATTCTTTTTTTCCTTTCTGAGGGAGATGCATAGGAGACCTGGGGTCCATTTTATTTAAGCACCACGAAAAATTCATCATGACATATGTTTTAAGCTGATGATAAAGCTTTATCTACAGTATTTATCTGTGTAATTGAAAGAAAAATTGTGAATTTTTACAGAAAACCTCAGAATAATAAAGTTGAATACAGAGCTAAGTGTATTAGAAATTATAAACAGAATGAGAAAAAATGGATACTTTTTTCCAGAACAGATGTGGTCTGGTTTTTCCTTTGCAAAGCTTTTATTCTTTTATCTAAAAAATTATGCAAACTTTGAAATAAAAGGTTTGAGATTATTCAGGTAGACACTGCCCGAAATGCTAAATTTTGTTTTCATTATAGGCAGGGTGCATTATATTAACAGGCAGCATAAAATATCCTTTCTGTAATTAAAAAAATAATGTATTCATTATATCTTTGAAACTGGGTTCTGGAGTGTTTTAGGTCCTGATTGCGGGCCATTTATTTTTGCTGCATACCAATGAGGTTTTGTCCTAATTACTTAGGAAGACTAGGTAGATATAAAACCAGTTATAACTTGATGATGATGTTTGTTTCATTGATGATCTCAATTATATGCAATTCAAGGGGGAAACTGCTTAAACAGTGCCATCCTTAAGGTATAAGATTTTAGTATGGACAGTATTAACTGCTCTGTTTTGAAATTTCATCTAAAAACAGTGTCTCTGTCTTTTCTGTATCTACTCGTATGACTTTTTAATGTATTTCTTGAAACAAGCAGGCTAGTTTTAGTCTCTTTATGAAGGTACTACACTGAGTTGCTTGGCTTGCTTTGTCATCTATGAAAATAAGGCCTGATGCATTTTATATTGCCGCTGAACTTTAACTGAGGTTTGTTTTTTTAAAGCATTAGTCTTTGCTATCTTTATTTTTCAGCAGCATGTATCTTGTATTCTAAAAATAGTTCCATTGTTTAATGGTTCCATACCAGGTAAACATTTCAGTGAGTCTTTGGTAGAAAGAAAATGCATGCCCCATTTAAAGGAAAAAAAGAAGGAAGGAGAGAAAAGAGAAGGTGTTATCTTTGCTTATAGCTGCAGGCAAGTTACCTCATTTTGAAAGGTCTTGTACATTCTTTAGCTTTGTTTTCCTCAAAAAAGAAAAATTCTCACGAACCCTTACTAAAATAAGAAGTATAATTTCTCATGTATGCCATTTCTTTACTTTCCAAGTAAAGAAATCAGTGATTTCTTAATGTCCTTTCAAGGCCAGTTATCAAAGACAGTGTTTTGGGTCTTCAACCACTATACTCTATTTCTTCTGGTACTTTCATAGATCCTTGGAAACACAGTTTACTGAAATGAGCTTCCCTATGTGCTCCTTCTGCCAATCTGCAAGCATGGAAAAAACTCATGGAGTTAATGACCACTATGCCTACAGTATTTATTTACATGTTGGATAATTAAAGTAACCTCCCTGAATATGTTGACCATAATTAGCCCTGCAGCTGATCAAAAGGCTATGCCTTCATTGAGTTAAAAACCTTTTTTTTCCTCTCCCAGTATAAAATTTTCTTGGCAGCTAGGGATTCTTCATCAAGTTGGTTGAAGAAGGATTGAGAGTAGCCCTGCAGAGAAGGACTTGGGGGTAAAGGTTGATGAAAAACTCAACATGAGCAGGAAGGGTGTGGTTGCAGCACAGAAAGCCAACAAAATCCTGGCCTGCATCAAAAGCAGTGTGGCCAGCAGGTCAAGGGAGGTGATTCTCCCTCTACTCTGATCTCATGAGACCCCACCCAAACATAAGAAGGATATGGAACTGTTGGAGCAAGTCCAGAGCAGGGCCATGAAGTTGGTAAGAAAACTGGAGCAGCTTCCCTACGAAGACGGGCTGAGAAAGTTGGGGCTGTTCAGCCTGGAGAAGAGAAGGTTGCATGGACACCTCATAGCAACCTTTCGGTATCTGAAGGGGGCCTACAGGGAAACCAGAGAGGGACTCTTCATTAGGAACTGTACTAATAGAACAAAGGAGAATAGTTTCAAACTGAGAGTAGGTTTAGATTAGATGTTAGGAAGAAATTCTTTACTGTGAGGGTGGGAAGACACTGGCACAGGTTGCTCAGAGCAGTTGTGGATGCCCCATCCCTGGAATTGTTCAAGACCTGGTTGGATGGGGCTTTGAGCAACTTCGTCTAGTGGAAGGTGAGTTGGAACTAGATGATCTTTAAGGTCCCTTCCAACCCAAACCATTCTATGATTCATGAAGCTTGGAAGGAAGAAGTAATAGAGGTAGTGTACGGCAACCTGTATTATAACTTAAATAGCATGTATGAACAGGGCATAGTTTACTTTTCCAGGGTGCAAAGTGTTCACAGTTGTCTTCAGTTGAATGCCCTTTGTCCTCTATTGTCATAAATCTGAGGATAGCTGTTACCCTTTTCATGTTGGAAAATGTTAATCACATTAATGGCATTTTCCTAGAGATGCATTTCAAACAACAGGATGAGGCAGAAGAGTTTTAATGGGAGGTGTGTAGGTAGGAAGGAACCTTTTACTCTGTGAGGAAATCTGCTCTGTCTCTGAGGGCTCGTTATGCAGGCTGCTGAGTAGGCAGCGTTCACTTTTTCAATAGTGCTGTGAGGAGGGTAGGCTGTTTGTTTGCTGTTTGCTTGCTGTCTGCAGAACATCACAGAGAATTCTCACGTGTAGTGCTTTGCTGTTCTGAATGTGATGAGGAAGCTTTTGGGCAAGGAAGAAAGTATCTTTTTAAAATACATAGCTGACAATCAAATAATGAAAATTGTGTCAGTTTTCATTTTGTGGAATTCAGGAGTTTCAAGTTTGATTATACAAAATACAGTTCAGATCCTGGCATTTGGCAGTAGCTGAATAAAAAAAAGTGAACAAAAATAATTCATTGGAAACAAAATGATCATGAGTTGAATCGTAATTTTATCAAAACAAATATGAAAGAGATATTTTCTGTGCTTAG